GGGTTAGGGTGAGGGTTAGGGGTAGGGGTAGGGTGAGGGTTGGAGTTCCTGGCCTGGAGCCCGGGTTGGGCCTGGGCCCCGCCCTTTCCCTGTCCAATGACGGGAGCCGAACTCTCAGGGGAACCTTCCCTAAAGGGAGCTAAAGCCATGCTGGAGGCAGTGCTGCCGATCTGCCCACTTCCCCGTGTGGGTACGGAGTCCTTCCCCCACCAGCCGGAGAAGGTGGCCGAGGGGACATCTGTCTGCTGGGGCTCAGGCCCTTCCTGTGTGGGTACTGATAGATCCTCCCTTCCTCCAACTGATGGACAGATGTAAACCCCACCTGCGGCCAGACATTCCCGAGCTCTGAACCACCCATCATCACCTGCTGAATACCCTAAGCACCCCGATTCCTAAGTCCCTAGGTCCCTAATCACCAACCAGCATGTGCTGAGTGCCCTAAGCCCCGTCCCCTATCCTTAAAGGTGTACCCTGGCGCTCGCTCTTCTGCCCCTCTCCGTGGAAGCAGCCGGCAGGGGTACCCTTCCCTCCAATAAAGCCTGTGTGTGTCCTGCCATCCCAATCTCCGGTCTACCTTCTTTATTTCTTTATTTATTTCTTTATTTGTTTCTTTATTTATAAAATATATTTTATTAATTTTTTACAGAGAGGAAGGGAGAAGGATAGAGAGTCAGAAACATCGATGAGAGAGAGTCATCGATCAGCTGCCTCTTGCACGTCCCCCTACTGCGGATGTGCCCGCAACCAAGGTACATGCCCTTGATCGGAATCGAACTTGGGACCCTTCAGTACACAGGCTGACGCCAAACCGGTTTCGGCTGCCTTCTTTATTTAATAGGAGCCCTTCCCCCCACACCCAGAGAAGGTGGCCGAGGGGACATCTGTCCGCTGGGGCTCGGGCGGGAGGCCCGCGGGACGGCTCGGAGCTGTCAGAGCGTGTACCGGAGTGCACGTCCGGTCCCACGCGGCCCCGGATGGAGCCCACGCAGGCTTCTGCACCCACGAGAAGAAGCCAGTCAGGCGCACTTCCTCGGGGCCTGGCCGCGGGCAGGTGCTCCGGGACCTCACGGAAACTTGTTAGCAATGCAGATGAGGGACCCGCCCTGGGGCCCAGCGTCCGGCCAGTGGGGCCTGGGGGGTGGGGGGAGCGGGGGCGCGGGCCGGGCCCTCTCAGTTCACAGGCTCCCCCTTCCTGGGGGATTCATCAGAGACAACCCCCCCACCTCACCCCAAACCCCTCCATTCTTCAGTTTCGTTTCTGTGGCCGCCAGCGTCAGTTCTGTGGTTTCGTTTCTCTGGCTGCGGGTGCAGGAAAAGCTCGGGAGAGGAGTGGCTCCCCCACCAGATAAAGGGCAGCGTTGGAAGAGAGAGGGCTGATCAGACGAGGCTCCGTCCCAAGTCCTGAAGGCTCACAGGTGAGGGCCGGGGCGGGAGGGCTGCCTTCGCTTGTGGGAAGGATTTCCTGGAAACCAGGCTGGGGGGAGCCCCTGGGGGCCCCCCTTCCAGAATCTGCTTCAGGGCGCTGTGGCCAGGAAGGGGTGGCTTTGCGGTTGGTGCAGTGCGATCCTGTGATTTCTGATAAGAAATGGACAGGAAGTAGGCTGGCTGCGGTCCCCAGGCTGCCTGCCCGCTTCATCCCCACAGTTAATGATCCTGGACGGAGGGCTTGGAAGTCGCTAAGAGATGTTAGGGGGGGGGGGGGGGGGGGCTGCCACATTGGAACGTGTAAAGAATTTTAGTGAGTTTATTTGAGCCAAACTGTGGACATATGCCGGAAAGCAGAACCTCAATGGGTTGAGATAATGCTCCGGAGAATGGCGGGTTACATTTCTATTTATACACTGAAATCAAAGGAGGGACATAGGTGGATGACATGAAATGCATTGGTGATGGAGTAAGGAGGCGGGAGAAAGCCAAGCGGTGGGAAACCCCTGGGATTGGATAAAAAGTAAAATGATGGACGTGTACTCAGGTGAGTGCAGGAACAATTAACATGGTAACGAAGGAATTTGAGCCATCTATCCTGGGCTCACCACATTTGGTTGTGCCCCAGGAGCTCCGGAAAAAGGGAAGTTACAAGTTACCCAGACATCTCACAGATATGTTATCTTAGAGGCAAAAAGGCAGAGGGTCTCAAGAAAGAAGATTAAATTGATCTTTGTCAGGTGAAATATCTGGGACGTGACTACCCTCTATAACCTGTTTGTAGTTAGATATTTAATTTTCAAACCATCTTCTGTGGTGATTTTAGGTCTCTGAGTTTGCAAGACTGCCACGCAGGCTTCCCCTGAGCTTGTCAGGTTAGCATGTGGCTCTTTTCCTTCACAGAGAGGATCTTACAAGTCCTCATCGCAAGGAAAAAGCAAAGGCTGTGCATGGGAGGGATGTTAAGGAGACTTCCTGGTACTGTGGTCCGGTCCTCAGTGGGAAGCCGCAGAGAGGTGTGGACTAGCAGAGAGGTGTGGACAAGGAAAGGCCAGACAGAGCTCTGCAGACACTGTCTAGTTGAGACTACAGTAGCTGAAGCAACTTCTGCCTTTTAGTCTCCTGTAAATCCTGGCTGATGGGCTATCTTCCAGCTGTTGCTGGAAATTGCCTGCCTAAGGGCTAAGGGTGGATCCCAAACCTGAATAAAAGGGATCACAGGGCCGGAGCCGAGCGGAGTCCTTCCTCTGGAGCTGGGTTCCCTTCCGCCTGGCCCCCAATATTCCCAAATTAGTATTTCCTAGTCTCTTGCGTTTGCGTGCGTGCGGCCTCCTCCAGAGCCCGAACCCTGAACCACGCGGGAGGTGGGGGTGGGGCAGAAGGGTGTCATATTCACAACTGGCAGCCCCGTTGGGGGTTGGGGGGGGAATGCATACAGTGATCATTTCACAATAGATGCAAATATTGGACTAGGGCGGGGGAAGGGGGGAGCAGGTTAGGTCTAAACCCTGGGAGGTTGGTGTCCCGGGACTCCTGTGCCGTGGCTCAGCAGCTCACACCATGGAGACCTGTCTGTCTGTCTCCCAGCTCTGCAGGCTGGACGTGAGGGACCACGGTGCCGGTGGGCTGCTCAGTCCTCCCTGTCCCTTCCAGCGGCTGGCCTCTGCCAGGTCCTGGGCGCTAGTTAGGGAACTGTCTCCAGGTGCGGAAGGAGGGCCTCCTTACATCTCGCCGCCAGCAGATGCGGGCCACTCGGTCACCCAGGCCGCCCGCCGACCAATTCGGGCAGACCCTACGGGAGAGAGGCCCTTAGCTGCTCCCTGCCCTTCCCAGGGGAGCACGGGGTTAGGTCAGTGGTCGGCGAACTCATTGGTCCACTGAGCCAACTAGCAACAGTACAAGGACTGAAATTTCTTCTGAGAGAGAGCCACATTTTTTAACCTGAAACCTCTTCTAACACCACTTCTTCAACATAGACGCGCCCCCGCCGTGGTGTTTTGGGGAAGAGTCACCCTCAAGGGGCCCAAGAGCTGCATGTGGCTCTCGAGCCGCGGTTTGCAGACCACTACGAGGTTAGGCCGTCACACTTCCTCCCTCTCCCTGGAAAGGAGGATGTTTTGTTGTTGTTATTCTGCCGTCAGGGGAAACGCATTCCTGATAGTTAGGAAAGGAGGCACGCGGGCCCCATAGGCCTGCCCGAGAGATTGAACGCCTCCATCTCCCCACACCCAGTCCCGGGAGGGATGTTTTTAATTCAGGGCAGGTCTCTCCGCTTAGCGGACTGGGGGAGCCCTCTGCCAACCTGGGCCAGGCATGTCTGGGGGCCAGACAGCCTGGGAGCTCCTGCGGGGTGGGTGCTGGGACTCAGGCCTCTCAGACCCACCAAGGCTCCTCGGGGACCAGTGAAGCCTGTGGGAAGCTCGAAACACAAAAGAGTAAAAATAAAAATAAAATAAAATAAAAATAATAAAATAAAAACAATCCAAAGGCAGAGGGACCCGGGCGGCGGACAGTTGGGATGGCTTTCCTGTTTCCTCTGAGCACAGTAAGCCTGGTTCCCTGGCACCCAGGGCTGTGGCTTCCACAGGGGACTGCATCCCAGCTGCCTGACTTGCCTGACCTCACTGCGCATCTCCTGGGAGACCCGGGACGGTGTGGTTGAGGGAGCAGAGCGAGCACCTGTCAGGGCCCTGGAGCATTAAGTGTGCCGGGCCACTAGGACTCCGCTGACCCTGCCTGGAGGCAGTGCACAGCCCCTCCATCCCCCCACCTGCAGCCCGGGGCAGCGGCCTGAGCAGGGGCACCCTCGGCCTCACCGGGAGCCAGCCCTGCCACACCTCGCTCTTGGACTCCAGCCTCCAGATCCCAAGGGAACACATCCTGAGGTTGGCCCTGGTCTGTGCTCTCAAGGCTGGGACAAGTGCAGGACACTCAGGCTCTCTCTTGTGGGCGGGGGAAGGGTTCCTGTCGAGAGTGGCCATTGGGGAGGCGGCCGGGGCTGCGGAGGGTGGTGTCTGAGTCCTGACGTAACCAGTGCAGGCCCTTCCTGCCTTCTGTTTCCTGAAATGGGAAGTGCTGGAAAGCAGCCACCCACGTGGAGCTGTTGTCCGAACACAAGGAGCGGCCCTCCAGCACAGCTGTTTCTGGCGGGGCCGCCTGGATCTGGCCGCAGGCCGCAGCACCCCTCCCGGGCTCCCCTGGGTCCGACGGGGCCTGGGTGACCGTCCGTGGTGGGCGGGCAGGCGCCGGCTCCCAGGGGTCTGGGGGATGCGGCCTCCATCTCCCCGCACCTAACGGTCCCCCTTTGGCTCCTGAGCCACAGGTGCCTCCCGGTGGCAGGGGGCCTTGGCTCTTCCAGGTTCGCGGAGCCCCCTGCCTCTCCTCCCCGAGCCCTGGGGGCCCGTGGAGACCCCCCTCCCTATGCGAGGAGCCTGGTCTCCCCGAGTCTGAGTGTAGAGGGAAGGGGGGGCCGTGCTGGGGCTGGAGAGGTGCAGCCTGGGCAACTTGGGGCCACCCTGTCTGTGTCTCTGCAGAGCTCGCCGAGAAGCACTGCTGGCTGCCCTGGCCGTCAGCTGATGCCGAAAAGCAACAAGTCTGCGCAGCAGCCGAGGCACACCCCGCTCCCCTCCCCGCCCTCTCCGAAGGCAGAAATGAATTTCTTCCCGAAGCAGCCGTCGCCGTTCAGCGCCCCAGGAGGGCAGATGAAGTTTTCCCCCATCTTTCCGGGTTCTCCCCAACCGAGAGAGACCAACCCGGCCTTCCTCACCAAGAACTTCAGCTCGATGACATTGAACCCCCAGATGGCCCCTCAGAGGCCCCCTCAGATGGCCCCTCAGAGGCCCCCTCAGATGGCCCCTCAGATGCCCCCTCAGATGGCCCCTCAGATGCCCCCTCAGATGGCCCCTCAGATGCCCCCTCAGATGGCCCCTCAGATGCCGGGAGAAACCGGGAGCCCTCCCAGGACAAAGGTGAGGTGGGGGGAGAACGCTTGGAAGGGCGCATCCTGCCACCGTCCCGATTTCGGACCCTCCCCCAGGGCCCAGGGCCCACTCCCCTCCTGCCCTGCCTGGGCACCTTCTCTCCGCTCGGCCAGGCCCTTCCGCCCTCAGCTAACTATGCCCGCTTCTGCAGAAGCAAAACCTCCATCGGAGCAGGACGCAGGGGCCTCCTGTCTGCAGCCAAGGGGAGCAGATGCCCAAATTCGCCCTCAGCGGGGTGGGGGGGGGGGAGGGCGGGGGAGCCTTCCCAGAGGCCGGGGGTGTGACCTCTGCCCCCCCCCCCCCAGGGGCTGGAGAACAACCTGTACAGCCAGTACGAGGAGAAGGTGCGGCCCTGCATCGACCTCATCGACTCCCTGCGGGCCCTGGGCGTGGAGCAGGACCTGGCCCTGCCCGCCATCGCCGTCATCGGGGACCAGAGCTCGGGCAAGAGCTCCGTGCTGGAGGCGCTGTCGGGCGTCGCCCTCCCCAGAGGCAGCGGTGAGCACGGAGGGGCCACACAGCATCTCTGGGGTCCGATGGCGTCCCACAGGCCCCCGGGAGGGCCGTGCCTGCAGGCCCCGGACGGCTTAGGTCCGGAGGGCACAGCCTGGGCGGGGGAGGGGGCGGACAGGGACCACCCCAGCTGCCCCTAGGTTTCCAATGGCGATGGCTGTCGCCGGCCCTGTCAGTCCAGGCCCCGCTGTTTCTCCTTCGCGGTCCAGGGGGCGGGGAGCACGTGTCCTTAGATCAGGTTAAATGTGTACGTTTAACAGGCGAAGTCCCTGCTGAGGAATTTACTCAATGTTTAGAGAAGCGGTTAGTCAGGATCATGTGTTTTTCGTTTAAAAATAAATAAATAAGAAGAAGCTGTTGCACAACTTAGTGAAGTGATTGCAAACGGGGGGAAGCAGGAGAGACAGTGTCCTCACAGCGGGCCTCTCCCTGGCTCCGGGCTCCCACCAGCACGGCCATCGCCAGACCCCCGCAGGCCCAGGGGCGCCGAGGCACCAGTGTCGCCCCACTGGGGCTGCCACCCTCCCCCTCCCCCCGAGCACAGGGGAGGGTGTGGGGACCTCAGAGGGTGGCACAGCCCCACCAGAAGTCTGCACGCCAGGCACCTGGTGGCCAGGGGGTCCTCTGAGGTCCCCAGTAGCCGCACCTGATGCCTGAGGGTAAGAGTCTGGGACACACGCCGCTGCCCTGGGTTCTGGGGAGAGGGTGCCAGCGGGGGAGCCTGCATGCCAGCGGCGGGCATGTGGCCCAGGCTGGTGAGGAGATGGTCCTCCCTCAGGGGACAGGCTCTCTCACCACCTGCTGACACACTGGCCTCAGCCCGCAAGCTCAGGGCAGTCCCGGCCTTTGGCTCCAGCTGCGTCAAGGGGGGGTCTGCCCTCACCCCCAGGGACCTCGAACACCAGCGCTGGACGCCCCGTGGACCCTCCTTCGGGGTGTCCAGCTCCCCCCGGGCTCTCGCTGCCTTCTCCCGCCTCCCGGGAGGACTGGGTGCCCATCTCTTTGGTGGATCGCTGCTTCCCTCTCTCCCTGCCCTGAGCTGCCACCCGGACGCCCGCGGTCTGGAGGCTGTGCCCGGGGTGTTCCCAGGGCCGGTGCTGGGGGCCTGGGTCGGGCCTGCACAGGGACCGACATCTCAGGCGAGGCCTCGGGGACACGGGCAGCTGCAGGGCGGTGAGCGGGAAGGGCACTGGGACCCGCTGTGAACGGAAACCTCTCCCTCAGGAATCGTGACCAGGTGTCCGCTGGTGCTGAAGCTGAAGAAGCAGCTGGCAGGCTCCCCGTGGGCAGGGAAGCTCAGCTACCGGAGCATCGAGCTCCAGCTCCAGGACCCCTCCCAGGTGGAGAGGGAAATACACAGAGGTGAGGCGGGGGGGGGGGGGGGGGGCTACGGTTGCTGCTGGGGCTGCTCCCCTCACTGTCCCACCTCCTCCAGCTCCTCCTGGGCTTCAGGAATTTTAAGGTCCTCAAGGCAGCGATCTCTCCTCCATCCAGGGAGCACCCTCCCCTCTTCCCAGGGAGCACCCTCCCCTCCTCCCAGGGAGCACCCTCCCCTCCCCTCCTCTCAGGGAGCACCCTTTCCTCCTCCAGGGAGCACCCTTTCCTCTTCCCAGGGAGCACCCTCCCCTCCTCCCAGGGAGCACCCTTCCCTCTTCCCAGGGAGCACCTTCTCCTCCATCAAGGGAGCATCCTCTCCTCCTCCCAGGGAGCACCCTCTCCTTCCAAGGAGCACCCTTCCCTCTTCCCAGGGAGCACCTTCTCCTCCATCCAAGGAGCACCCTCCCCTCCTCCAAGGGAGCACCCTCTCCTCCCAGGGAGTACCCTTCCCTCTTCCCAGGGAGCACCTTCTCCTTCATCCAGGGAACACCCTCCCCTCCCCTCTTCTCAGGGAGCACCCTCTCCTCCATCTAGGGAGCACCTTCTCCTCCATCCAGGGAGCACCTTCTCCTCCATCCAGGGAGCACCCTCCCCTCCTCCCAGGGAGCGCCCTCCCCTCCTCCCAGGGAGCACCCTTCCCTATTCCCAGGGAGCACCCTTTCCTCCATCCAGGGAGCACCCTCCCCTCCCCTCCTCTCAGAGAGCACCCTCTCTTCTCCCCATGCGCTTCCTCCTGTTGGTGTCCCTGCCTCTCACACTGTCCCTGCCACCTACTTCCTATTCTTTCTTAGCTTCTCAGTTAACTCCCCAACCCTGGAAAGTGTCCCCACAGGACCCCACCCTACCCCCCAGCTGTCTGGTCGCCGCTGTCTTAGGTCGCTGCTCTAAGCTAACCCCAGCAGCCACGGGTGGCCACGTCCCCATGCAGCTTCCCCAACACAGATGCCAGCCGCCACCGGGCCTTAGAACACAGTTTACCAAAACCCGAGATTCATGTTAGGTAACGGCAGAGCAATAAAAAGGCTCCAAGGCTCCTGAGCCCACTGCACTCCCTGAGGGGGCCCCTGACCGTCACTGCCGCCCACGACTCCAGCCCTGCCGCCCCCTGGTGGCGGCTCCCCTGCCTGCTCTCCCTACGGTGTCCGCCGGGCAGAAACGGTGACCCTGATGGTGATGAGAAGGTCTGCAGGGACCACCTCCGTCCCCGGAGGACAGGCGCTCTGTATTAGCAAACGAAGAACTCAGCATCCGAGGGGAGGCCCCCACAGGACGTCCTGGGCTCAGCTCCGAGAACCTCGCACCCGAGGTTCCCAGAGGGATCCTTCCCACCTGGAGAGGTCCGGGCCCCCATTCTAGTGCTCGCCCCCATACAGAAGCTGCTCCAAACCTTCCATTGGCAAGATTCCCAGCTTGCAATTACACCAGCTCTGGGTAATAAGAATCTCTGCGGGGACCGCCCTGGGAGATGTCCACACAGGACCTCACCCTGCCCCGCCCCGAGCTCCGTGGGTGCTGCTGGGGACTGGTGCTGGGTGAGGGCGTGTGAGAAGCCGGCTCTCGAGGCCGAGGCATCTGCAGAAGAGCCTGTGGACCCCCGTCTGCGGCTGCTGGGGTGTGAGCTGGTGCAGCCACTGGGAAGACTGTCAGTTTGCTGAGGCTGGAGGTGTGCACCCTGGACTCTCGCCCTGGGCACCACCCCCCTGGCCAGACGGGCCCCGAGCGCCAGGGTCTAGGATGCCTGAGGCAGCACTGCGGTGGAGCAGCTCGCTGGGGGCGCCCAGATGTCCCTCAGCAGCGGGCCTGACCCACACGCGGGGTCCCTCAGCGACAGGCACCGACACGGGTGACTCTCACCAACGTAACGTTGAGTGAAAGCAGCCAGACGCGAGGGAGCCCCTAGGATCCCATTTACCTGGTATAGTCGGGCGAGGCCACGTGAAACTGTTGTTCTTGTGGCGGAAATGCCGTATTATCAGCAAATGCAGTTGTTCAACCACGGGTGAAGTTCGAACATGGGCAAAAGGAATGAAGGCAGGTCTGGCCAGGATAGTGGGGGCTAAGGACTGGCTGGAGCAGGAGGCCCTTCAGAGGGCTGCCAGGTTCTGCCCTCCACCCAGGTGTTGGTCATGTCTGCGTGTTCTCCGGTGTTGGTTACACCCGTGTGTTCTCGGGGTGTTGGTCACGCCTGTGTGTTCAGCCGGGATACCCACCAAGCCGCACACTTAGATAAGGAGTGATTCTCTGTACAGATGTTACACTGGATAACATCCTCCATGAAAGGATGACTAAAGCAGGAAGTGTTTCCGAAGGCGCCGCCCTGGTTTTTCACTCGCTCCTGGTTCCATCCCTAAGCCTTGGGGCCTACGGGACCAGGCAGTTAATTGGGGCCATGGCTTCCCTGCTTCCCTGGTGCTCAGATGAGAGCTGCCCCCGATGCAGGTCAGTGTGTGACTGCCCACAGATTCCATTGCAGTGCTGCCCAGAAAGGGGCCGGCGTGTCTCCCCTCATCTCCATCCCCAGAGACCCCTCAGGGCCCCCGGGAGGCCCTGTCCTAACCTACAGCAACAGCGCCTCCTGGCGGTCCCAACCGCCCACCCTTCCCAGTGGGCCTTTACCTAAAACTTCAGAGTCCATCAAAAATGGACCTTCTCCCCGGGCCCACGGCTGTTGTCAGGCAGAATTGGCCACAAAAGAATCGCCTGTTGCCAGTGTGGACACAGTGGATGTCTGGGGAGTTTCCTGTTGCCAGTGTGGACACAGTGGATGCCCGGCGAGGCTGCTGGAGGGATAAGGGTCTCCCAGGACTCACTTTCTGCCCCAGGGAGGATGTGAAGGCACATTCTGAGGGGGAGGAAGGGGGAGGACACAGGTACCCTCCAGGAGAAGGGGAGGAACTGTAGCCTCCCCTTAGGCCTCCATGCTTCCCCTGAGCTGGTGACCAATGACTTGTGTCCTTGGCACAGGAATTCCACGTGCCTCCCCCTCACTTAGACCACCCTGGGCTTTGACTCATTTCAAGAAGCTTACAGGTCTGCTAATACCCTGGCTTCTCGATGCGGTTCCTGGTCTGCAACAGTGCCACCACCTGGGGCTATTGGGAACTGCAGAATCTCAGGCCACAGCCCAGACCTGAGGAGTCAGAATCTGGGTGCTAACCAGACCCCTGACGGGTCACATGCACTTACATTTTGAGAAACCCTGACCAGAGCAGGACCAGCTATGTGATTTAAAGGGATCAGTGTAAAATAATCATAAATCACTGTGTATTATGCATGCATAGTTTGGGGTATATGGTAAGTATATAATAAGTTGTATATAGTTCTCAAAAAGAGATCTTTTAAATATTCTATAGAGATTATATAGGAAATAATCCATTTTTAGATAAGATATAAGAAATTCTTTTTCCTCCCTTCTACTTCCCAGGAATAGTTCCTTCTTTTCCTCCTCCCTTCCCACAATCCCTCTTACCCTCAAGGGACAGCACCATAGGGTAGCTGCAAAGTAGTCTATGACCAAAGATAAACAGCACATGCGTTATTGATGTGCCGTGTTTGCTTACATGATCTTGTTTAGCCAAGGGGTCATGCCCTGGGGGCTTCTCTGCGGTCCCTGCAGTGGAGCCTGGGTGGCTGGCAGTTGAGGATCCCCCTTCTGGGGGGTCTGCTTAGCTCCAGTCTGACCACAGGCCTTCAGATTCGCACCTGGTTTCCAACGGACAGAAGGAGGAAGAGAGGCTTTGTGTTAGGTGTCCTGGATTGGAGGGGTATGTGTCTCCCCTGCCATGAACACACCTAGCAGTGGAATTTCATTGTGGTATTTGTCGCATGTTTATGCGTTAGTGGGTACATGTTAGTGTGTGCATTTATATCTGTTAGTGTATGTTTGTGTATATGTATGTGTGTGTTAAAGAGTCAGATATAAAGAAACAGGAGACACTGTAATATTGCCCTGGAACACACACACACTTATATTTGTACTAGAGGTCTGGTGCACAAAATTCATGTGGGGAGAAGGGGCCTCAGCCTAGCCTGCATCCTCTCCAGTTCAGGATCCCTCTCGCAATCAGGGACCACTGGATCCTAACCACTCATCTGCCTGATTGCCCCTAACTGCTCTCCCCTGCTGGCCTGATCACCCCTAACTGCCTCTGCCTCAGCCCCCGCCACTGTGGCTTTGTCCAGAAGGAGGTCTGGAAGAATGTCCAGAAGACATCTGGTCTCATTAGCATAGTTCCCTTTTATTAGTCTAGATTTGTATTTATTTATATATTTTTTCTGGTTATAGAAGTAATACATACCTCTATTACTACATAACAAATTACTCCAAAATTTAGCAGATTAAAACACAAACAGATACTCTCTCACACAGTGTGTGAGGGTCAGGAATTGGACACATCAGTGGGTAGTTCTGACTCAGGGTTTTCAGTGAGGCCGCAGCCAGATGTTGGCTGGGGACTGAATTCTATCTGAAGACTCGACTGGGGCTGGTGAACTCTTCCCTCATGTGGCCATTAACAGGAGGCCACACTTTCTTGCTGGCTGCTGGCAAAGGTGCTAGGTCCCACCCTGTTGTGGGCCTCTCCATTGCTGCTTGGTGGCCTTTTATGATGGGGCCATTGGCCTGCCCCAGAGTGAACCATCCATGAGAAAGTAGGAGCAAGCCATGATGCCTTGAATGACCTCGTCACACTGTCACTTCCACCCTATCTATTCTCATGATATAAGTCCCTCTGTCTGACCCCACTGAAGGCTCCATCTTTTGATGAGAGGGATGTTGAAGGATTTGGGGATAGAACTATTACCACACCCAGTGAAAACCCAATGGAAAATATTTTAAAATATAGAGAACAGAACCCATCCACAATCCCAATGGAAATAAATTGGATGTTTTCCTTTAGGATTTCTGAGAGTGTATGCACATGTGGGGACCCTGAATACTGGTACACGAACGGCCACCTCCGTGGCCTCAGATCACTCGGCAGGTTTCTGTGAAACGTGTCCAACCACCTGGGACTCTGAAGCTCCTATACTGTGAATACCCACTGTTGCCTTCAAGAACAACTGCTTTCCCTCAGAAGGGTCGCTAATTTGGACTCTGGGTTTCTCTTCTCTTGGCCTCCATAGCCCAGAACACCATCGCCGGGAATGGAGTTGGCATCAGCCACGAGCTCATCAATCTGGAGATCACCTCCCCTGAGGTTCCGGATCTGACCCTCATTGATCTTCCCGGCATCGCCAGGGTGGCTGTGGGAAATCAGCCCCAGGACATCGGACAGCAGGTGAGCCTTTCTGGAACTTGGGAATGGGCCAAGCTAAAGTTGGGGAGACTTTGAGGCCTCTGTTGGTCACCCTTAGGGCTGTGATGTGCCTCCCCAGCCCTCACTCTGAGTGATTGGCGAAGAGACTGGAATAAGACCTCCTGGGCATGGGGTTTATACTCAGGATGAGAGTAGAGCCTGGCAGGTCATAGAAACAAGAGAAATTGACTTGGTGGGACTGGGGGTGCATGGGACAGCTCCCATCCTGCCTAAAATAAAGAATGTGGGACCAGTGTTGCCAGCTGTCTTGAGATAGTCAACAGACGCCAGAAATTTGGATTTTCACATGAAATCTGCCAATTTTAGCAACAATTAAAAAAAAAATAACGCTACTTAAACTAATCAGAACATGGTCTGCGGTCTCTCGTCAGAAGCAAGGAGGCAGTGCAGTGGGAGGGGTGACAGCCAAGGACAACAATGACCAGTACAAACTAAGAGCCCCTGAGCCTGTTGCTTCTTTCCAAAGACCTGCCCACTTAAGGCTGCCTGAGCGCACAGTCTTACTGAGATGCTTGATCTTTGGGCAAGGCCCATCCCCAAGCTAAGTTTGTGAGGGGGAGAAGATGAGACCTTTCTATCCTAGGAACTAGAGTCACTTGCCTGCCCTTTTCTCCTTTTACGAGGGGCATTGCCAGTGAGGGAACCCAGCCACAGCCAAACTCAGGGGGTCTCTGCTAGCTCTGCTGCTCTGGGAAAAATCTTGGGCAGTGAAATGCTGGTTTCTTCCTCAATATCCAAATCACCGTTCTCTGTCTCTAAGAGCAGTGTAATTCGCTCATTTTCCTTACTGAGTTAGTGACTAATTCCACACTTCTCACCCGCCAGGAGGGTGCTGGTTCATCCATCCAATGGGTGGACTTTCCTAGTACCTCTGGGCTTCTGGGGAAGGTACAACACATTTTAAAAAATCATGCTGATCTATATATATATATAAAAGCCAAGTGACCAGAACGACAAAACGATCAGAACCACCTGTCACTATGATGTGCACTGTGGTGCCCAACTAGTCCGATTGCCGCCCCCCCACAAAAAAACAAAAAACACCTATCCAAGGTGGGGCTGGCTGGCCAACTGCCTGTGTCCCCTCCCCATTGCTGGCCCAGCCCTGATTGGCCCCCTTTGGGACAAGCTGGCCAGACTCCACCTGTGCACGAATTTGTACACCAGGCCTCTAGTAAAGTGATGATAATCGCAGAAGGCTTCCAGGAGAGATCTGGAGAGGAAGGAGAGGGTTCCTCCGGCCATAAGAATTGAGTTTTCAGGAGAGAAGCTACACCAGTGATGGGCTCTGAGGAATAGTAGAAAATCAACTGAGACTCCATAAGGGCCGGTGGGGTGGGCATTCCAGAGGAAGGGGATAGGCCAAGCGAGGGCTCGGAAGGGTGAACACTGGGTCCCGCACTAGGATGACTGGTTTTTACCATCATTGGGGGAGGTGTCTTACTGTGCTGCTGAGTCATCAGAGACCTGCTCTTCCTTTGTGGGATCCTGTGGCATCAGATCAAGGCTCTCATCAAGAAGTACATCCAGAGGCAGCAGACCATCAACTTGGTGGTGGTGCCCTGTAACGTGGACATCGCCACCACAGAGGCGCTGAGCATGGCTCACGAGGTGGACCCCGAAGGAGACAGGACCATCGGTAAGAAGGGAGAACCAGGCTTCCAGAGGTTGGGGAAGGAAGGGGAGACCCTCACACACGTGGAAGGCCCTGGAGGTAGGCCCACTGTAAGAGATGCCCACATCCTGTGTTAGACCCAAGTGCTGCTCCAGCCCAAGCTCCATGGGCGCAGGGTCCATCCGTGCTGGTCATCTTGCTCACAGTCAGGGTTAGCTGAGCCACCAGGACACGCTTTTTCACCCTCCTCATCGCCCCATTGCATTCAGGAGCCGTTCTGAATGGGGACAAGACCTGCTTTATCTGCTCTCCCACGATGGCCCAGAAAGGAGAAAGTGGCTGGCCTATCAGTTCTGCCATAACACAGTGAAGGTCTGGGCCCCTGGGTACAGGGAAAAGACCGTCACAGACCCCAGCGAACATACTTCCAGGCGAATGTTGGAGCCTAAGCATCTGCAGGACTAAATTCAAGCAGAACCCTTTGTTGTGGGAAACTGTGTTATCTTCAGTGTCCTTTTTAAAAATATATATATTTTATAGATTTTTTTACAGAGAGGAAGGGAGAGGGATAGAGAGTTAGAAACATCGATGAGAGAGAAACATGATCAGCTGCCTTTTGCACACCCCCCACTGAAAATATGCCTGCAACCAAGGTATGTACCCTTGACCGGAATGGAACCTGGGACCCTTGAGTTCACAGGCTGAAGCTCTATTCACTGAGCCAAACCGGTTTTGGCTTTAATGTCCTTTTTTAAATGTCACCCTTCGTGGCATTAAAGGGACTTGGCTTAAGAGCACAGACTGCCTGGGTTTGGGTTCTCACGGACTGGCTCCTTGCCCTTGGGCAGTGCGTTTAACCTCTCCTTCCTCCTCTGTAAATGGTGCTAACAGTCACAACCACCTGCTAGGGTTGTTGGGAGGGTTACACGAAGAACTATTGGGTGCCCAGCTTCTCCCTTGGTTCTCTCCTTCACTGGCCAGCTTCAGGTCACGTTCCTAGTCACCTTGGCTGGTTGCTTCTTCAACTCTCTGACCTCTACATATGGGAAACCAGAACTTGGTTCTGAGCTCTCCCTCTATCACACATTCTCTTGAAGTGACCTTATGTGTCCATGCTTTTGAATTCGTTCTACATGCCAATGACTCCCAAATCTCTTTCTGGAACGCTTATCTTTCCCTAGACTCGATGTCTCCACTTGGGTGTCCATCAAAGGTCTCTGAGGTATTGTGACCAAAGCACTAATCTTGACACTATTCTCCCACACCCCAATTCTCCTCCTCCCAAGGTTTCACTGCCTCTTCACAGTCCCACACCCACCTGCCCAGGTCTAAAGCCACATCAAAGAGTCACCCTCGATTCCTCTTTCTCCTTGCTTCTGTGTCTAATTCATCTGAAGTCCCGGCAACCCTTCTTCCAGAACTAATACCGAGTCTGTCCGCCCCTCTCCATCCCCAGAGTCACTACCTAGACCCAGCCTCCATCGCCTGCCTGGGCTATGCAGACAAGCTCTGGTCTCCCAGCATTCACCTTGCCCACAACAATCCACACACCACCACCCTCCACACCCCCTACCTCCCTCCCCCCCCACCTTAGACCTGCAAGTCAGGCCATGCCCCTCCTCTGCTCACTCTCCAATGCTTCAGTCTCACGTGTTCAAACCCAGACCGCTTTGCTGGGACCGCAATGCATTCTGGGACCTGGCTCCTGCATGCCTCTGGGACCACGGCTCCCATCACTCCCCACCTTGTCCCCTACTGTCCAGTGCAGCTCAGTCATCCAGCTCCCTCTCCGCCCACAGGGCTGGCTCCTTCCTCTCATTCAGGTCACAGCCCAAACGTTGCCTGCTCTGAGGCCCTCAGCATCCAGCAGCCTACACGTGTACAGCCACCCGGCCTGTGGTCATTTCTTTGCCTTTCTTTTCATTCCCGGCATGGAATTTATCAATATTAGATATTTTTGTTTATTTTTTATATATTACTAGGATCATTTAGCTGGCTTTTCCCCACTGGAAGACGGAGGGATATTTGTGAAATCAGGAACTATGCTTTCTCACTCATCCCACCTGCAGCAGAGTGCTCAATAAGCATTGGTTGATTTAATGTGTGTGCGGAATGCATTCAGGAATGAACACACTTAAAAAGAGAGAAAAACTATGAAAGCATCTAAAAATGGCTGAGAGTGCCCATCTCTGTGACCCGCTAGCTGGGCCATTAAATGATGCTTCTGAGCTGATTCTGTGGCTGGAGGCGTGTGTTTCTAACCGAGGTGCCCTAGAGAGCCCTGTCTCCCCTGCCAGGGCGGATTCTAATGGCAAGCTCTCATTTTCCTGATCTCACTCCCTTTTCTCAGAACAGAGCACAGGGACCCGGGCTTCCCTGAAGGAGTGCTGGCTCCGGGGAGGGGCAATCCCGGCTGCTGTCTCCCCTCCCCAGGGAAGGCCCTCTCCTTCACCAATGGGAGGTGCAGACGCAGATTCAGACAGGCCAGGCATTGGCTCTGTGAGTCACCCGAAGGTCAGCTCACATAGACCTTGTAATGAGTCTAGGATGCGCTCTGAAGTAACAGCTTCTGGGAACAGAAGAGACAGAGAAATGAAGCTGCTTAAGCGCCAGGGAAGCTTCTCAGGGACGTGATGATGGAGCTGGTCCCTTATGCCCGCGCTAATGCCCAGTCCTGGCACCAGCAGGCACCCAGAACATTTTCTAAAATAATTTTATTGATTTTCCACGGAGAGGAAGGGAGAAGGATAGAGAGTTAGAAACATCGATGAGAGAGAAACATCAACCAGCTGCCTCCTGCACGCCCCCTACTGGGCATGTGCCGGCAACCAACGTACATGCCCTTGACCGGAATCGAACCTGGGACCTTTCAGTCCACAGGCCGATGCTCTATCCACTGAGCCAAACCAGTTTCGGCTCACCCAGAACATTCATTAAATCAATGACGCAAGGCAGTTGGTGAAGTGGGGGGGAGCCGATCTGAGGGGTGCCGCTGACATGAATGGATGACAGGCAGGCATTGGGCAGTCGAGGCTACAGAAGGCTCTGTGGGTCCTAGCAAGGAAAGGGTCCCTGAGTCCCGCAGCCGTCAAGTGGATCTGAGAAGAGAACGGACCTTCCACGCCCTTCTTCATCACCTCGCAGGGATCCTGACCAAGCCGGACCTGGTGGACAAGGGCACGGAAAAGACTGTGGTGAACGTGGCGCAGAACCTGACGTACCGCCTCAAGAAGGGCTACATGATTGTCAAGTGCCGGGGCCAGCAGGAGATCACCGACAAGCTGAGCCTGGCGGAGGCCACCCAGAAAGAAAGGATGTTCTTCCAGGCGCATCCGTATTTCAGGTGAGCGCCCGTGGGACCCTGGAGCTGGGATCCCTGGGAACCGCTCCCCCACCTCTACCCCCCGGGACGGGCCAGCATGATGACCAAATTGCATATAAGATTGTACAGTATAGCGGAACCCATCCTTGACTTTATTTTTAGTGTTAAATTCGTTGGCTTATTGCCCTAACCGGTTTGGCTCAATGGATAGAGCATCAGTCTGCGGACTGAAGGGTCCCAGGTTCAATTCCGGTCAAGGGCATGTACCTTGGTTGTGGGCACATCCCCAGTAGGGGGTGTGAAGGAGGCAGCTGATCGATGTTTCTCTCTCGTCAATGTTTCTGGCTCTCTATCCCTCTCCCTTCCTCTCTGTGAAAATCAATAGAATGTATTTTTAAAAATTCATTGGCTTATTGAAACAAATCGTTTTTTTGTGGGCTCTAACGATGGTGCTGATTAAAGGTTGTAATTTGGTGAGCCACAGGGCATAGGGCACCTGGGTTTTCCGAAATGTCTTCACTCACCTTCTCGTGTGCGCCCCATCAAGTCTTAGGAGATGCACATGGCAAGTGAGGGTCTTCTCACTTCTGTAGACAAGGATGAGAAGTCAAAGCACTAGTGAAGGAAACAGGACCGGAAGCAGATCTCTGAGCCTCCAGAAACCCATGTTGACCATCATAAATGGTGCCACTGCGTTAGAGCCCGCAAAGGAGCTGGGTTTTGTGAGGCCTGATCACATGATTGAATGGACACCCTCTCCCCTGGGAATGGACCTTCAGGCCACTTCACAGTGGACATTCTCATTCGCGTAGACCAGTGGTTGGCAAACTCATTAGTCAACAGAGCCAAATACCAACAGTACAACGATTGAAACTTCTTTTGAGAGTCATATTTTTTAAACTTAAACTTCTTCTAATGCTACTTCTTCAAAACAGACTCGCCCAGGCCGTGGTATTTTGTGAAAGAGCCATCTTAGCATAAAGTCCTCGAGGTTCATTCTTGTGGTCACATGTGGCAGAATATCCTCCTTTTTAAACGCTGGCTTAGCTCCCACTGCGTTGTTAAAACAAACACAAACGGGGGCCAGACTCGGAGACCCCCTGAGCAGACAACAGTGGATCGGTCATCCGGCAATGCTTCACTCAGCTGATTTCACAGACAAGCCGGTGCCCACACACATCCTCTTCTTGCTTCTGAAAATCATAAACGAAACTTAAGTTGTTCCCCCAAATTGGCATGAGGCAACCATTAACCAATTCCTCAGCTTTAAGAAAACTCTGGTATGAGAGCCGATCGCCACGCAGAAGGAGCTGCCACTGCTTCCTCCTCACATTTTTAAAAAATTAACCCCTGATCATACATTGTTTGCAAAGATTTTCTCCCATTTGGTAGGTTCTGTGTTGTTTCTTTGCTCTGTGGAAGCTTTTCAGTTTGATGTAGTCCCACTTTGGTCTATTTTTTGCTTTTCTTCTCAGTGCTTTTGGTGAAATCATTTTCCCTTGTGGTTTTTTTTTTTTTTTTTTTTTTTTAATATATTTCTATTGATTTCAGAGAAGAAGAGAGAGGAAGAGCGAGAGATAGAAACATCAATAATGCGAGAGACTCATAGATCAGCTGCCTCCTGCATTCCACGCATTGGGGTCAAACCCACAACCCAGGCATGTGCCCTGACCAGAAAACAAACTGACCTGGTTCATAGATGGATGCTTGACCACTGAGCCACACTGGCTGGGCTCCCCTGTGTTTTTTGTGGGATTTTATTCTAGGAGCTTTACATTTCTTGTTTTATGTTAAAGCCTTCAATACATTTTCGGTTGGCTTTTGTGTGTGGTATGAGATAAGGATCCAATTTCATTTTTCTGAATGCAGACATATAGATCTGATATCCTATGTTGAAGAGCAATCTTTCTACATTGTGCATCTTGACACCGTTATTAAAATTGAGTTGAATATATATGCATGCATTTATTTCTGGGTGCCCTATTCTGTGCATGTCTGTCTTTGTGCTAGCATTGTACTCTTTTGTAATAACAAACTATAGCTTTGTAATATATTTTGAAATCAGGAAATGTGGTGCCTCCCACTTTTTATTTTTAATATATTTGTATTGATTCCAGAGAAGAAGGGGAGGGCAAGAGATAGAAACATCAATGATGAGAGGGGATCATTGATCGGCTGCCTCCTGCATGCCCCTTATTGGGGATGGATCCCGCAACCCGGGCATGTGCCCTTGACCAGAATGGAACCTGGGACCCTTCATTCCGCAGGCTGACGTTCTGTCTACTGAGGGCCAAACTAGCTAGGGCTGATCCCTCCCACTTTATTCTTTTTCCTCAAGATTGATTTGGCTACTCAGGGGTGAATATTTGTTACCAAAAATCAAACACAAGTTTGGACAAATCACTCTACTGCTACTAAGTTAGGTTGGTTTTGTTTTCCTGCGGATAAAAAGATCCCTTACTTCAGTGGTCAGCAAACTGCAGCTCGCGAGCCACATGCGGCTCTTTGGCCCCTTGGGTCTTTAGCAAAGGCCAGCTTAGGAGGACCCTAATTAAGTTAGTAACATTGTACCTACCTATAAAATTTGAATCTCAAAAGAAATTTCAATTGTGTACTGTTGATATTTGGCTCTGTTGACTAATGAGTTTGCCGACCACTGCCTTACGTCATCAGTTTGTGGGATGATAAAAAGAGAAGGCAGATGTAACCTTCCTAGGGCCGTGCGTGCCTCAGATAGGCTCATCCCATAATTAGCATTTGTCTTCCCCCCCCACTCCTCCCCCACGGGAGCAGAGTGAGCTCACTCACCCACTCACAAAGGCCAGGATGTGTGCAAAGGACCGCGTGGGCCCTTCCTGAACTCAAGTGCACTGTCTTGTTTCAGAGTCCTCCTGGAGGAAGGCAAGGCCACAGTGCCCCGCCTGGCAGAGAGACTCACCACCGAGCTCATCTGGCACATCAACGTGAGTCAAGGGTTGGCTGCAAGTTATAAAAATTGCAGCCTGCGTGAATCACTCTCAGTCACCAAAAGGCTAAGACACACTCTGCCAAAAGGCTAAGACACACAAACAAGCACATTCTGAAAACCAAATAAACCAAATGGCTCCTGGCCAGAGGCTCCGAGGCCAGCGTCTGAATCAGGGGAGGAACAGGGCATGATCTGGAAACAAAAAGGGGAACCGGTCAGCGTGGGGGAAGCAGAACGAGAAACCGTAGTATTAGCTCAGCGCGGTAAAAAGCAACGAACGCCGAGGCAGCAGACTTCTCTCTTTTCAGCGGTCCTTAACACTTCACAGTACACAAGACATTTTCCCAGCCTCAGACTTGTAAGGAATATGCGTTTGGTTTCCATGGATTCTCAAACTTTTCATGATGCTGTGAAATATGGTACAAGCGTGAGTTAGTGGCTTAGTGCTTCTTGTTTTTCTTTTTTTTTTTTTTAAATACATTCCATTGATTTTTTTACAGAGAAGAAGGGAGAGGGATAGAGAGCTAGAAACATCCATGAGAGAGAAACATTGATCAGCCACCTCCTGCATTCCCCCTCCTGGGGATGTGCTCACAACCAAGGCACATGCCCTTTGATTGGAATCGAACCTGGGACTCTTCAGTCCACAGGCACACACTCTATCCAGTGAGCCAAACCACCGAAGGCGGCTTAGTGCTTCTTGAGACCTAGTCATGGAGCTTGCCTGAACCTTTGTACATGAGGCTGAACCATAAGGCAGGACTGAAGGTTAACCCCAGAGCAGAGATGACCCCCTGGCCTGGGTTTCGTCCATGCTAAACTGCTCAACTACGAGTCAGACCAAGACAACGAATGCTTTTGAGCCAGAAAGCACACACTCAAAACATAGGTGGTGGGCCCTGGCTGGGTGGCTGTTTGTTGATGAGTCATTCCATACACCAAAAGGTTTTGGGTCAGAGTGTGTATGGGAAGCAACTGATCAATGTTTCTCATATCAATGTTTCTCTTTCTCTCTCTCTCTCTCTCTCTCTCTCTCTCTCTCTCTCTCTCTCTCTCTCCCTCCCTCCCCCCCCTTCCTCTCTCTAAAAAATCAACTAAGGAAAAAAAAAAGACTTATTTGGTGAGAAGGGGTCAGTGGACCTGAGAGGCAGTGCACACAAGAATCCCCTTGAAATTTGGTGAAAGCTCACATCCCTGGGCCCAGACCCAGAGTTTCTGAGTCAGCAGGTCGAGGTTGGGGCCTCGGATTTGCCCTTGTAAGTTTGCAGGAGGTCTCGGGAACACACTTAGAGAAGGACTGACTCTCGCGGAATCCCCTCAGTGTGCAGAAGGAGGCACCAAAAGATAGAACCCTGTCTAATTGCAAAAACAAACACGTGTTTCTGCAAAAAGATGTTGCATTTTGATAACATTTTTGACAACACATTTCTCAACACTTAAAGTTTTACATTAAAATTAAAATTTGTAGTATTTTAAATTAATTTTTCATGTATATCAGGATTCAATTTTGGTCATTATAATTTGAAATATACATATATATTTGTGCCCGGGGGACCTTATTACCTTCTTGGCGCCCCCCACCTTTACCGCCATTTTGTGGAGCCTTGACAAGCTGCCTCTGAGTCTCAATGACCTCCTCCTGCCAGGCTGGCTGCAGCGACCTTGGCACCGAAGCAGGATTGGGGGCGCTGCTCACTCAGGTGTCTTTACCCGCAGGGTCCACCTGTCTGGGCTTTGGTGAGCAGGGTGCAAACTGGAACCGAGCCACTTACTAGCTCAGCAAGGATGTCCAGCTATGGGCCTCTCTGAGCTTCCGGTTCCTGTCCTGGAAAAAGGCCATGAAGCCGGTGCTTCCCCACACCCAGGGGCGTCACTGAGACACAGGGCATGGCCACAGGCAGCCCTCATGGGGCGCTCTAGGCCCTCTGTTCTCCTCACCTGCATGGTGATTGCTTAGGACTGTCCCCAGCCTGGCACCAACCCCCATGGCATAGCTTCTACCAAAGCGCCCTTTCTCAGTTGATGACCTTCAGATGCTCATCCAGGCCACGTGTTCCTAGAGAAAGCTGACACTGTGTTCAGGTGTTATTGACCTAGAGACACAGACACCTAAACCAAACGAAACCAAGATCTGCCTCTCCCCGTGTTCCTTGCTGTAGAACAGAACCACGGATTCTGCTCCAGCTCCTTAGTGGGCCTTTGCCTCAATGCCTCACACAGCGACAGAACCCCTCCCTCCCCACTTGACTTCCCAGCGGGTTCTGCTCCTGTGCCCAAGACACCTGTCAACTCGCTCCAGGCTGCGGTGTCTCACTGCTGGCTGTTATTTTGTTCAGAAATCACTGCCGCTGTTGGAGGATCAGATCCGAGAGAGCCACCTGAACGCCACGGAGGAGCTACGCCAGTGCGGGGAGCACATCCCCAACACCGATGCCGACAAGATGTTCTTTCTGGTCGAGGTGAGGACCCTCCGGGGCGCCAGGTGACACTCAGGCACAGAATCTGGCCTCTCCCTACGGCGGCCACACCCTCCCAGGTGGCCCAGCGCATCTCCGGGGGCCTCTGTGCTCCCTGCCTGGGTCCTTCTGGGCCCTGTCCTCCCTACAGTATCATGTGGGAGAGGAGGGGTGGGTGGGTGATGTACTGCCAGCCCCCTCGCCGCCCTGCACCCGGCCCAGCTCCTCAACCACAGCACAGTGGAATGACGTTACCTCTTTTCCAGAAAATCAAAGTGTTCAATCGGAACATTGAAAGGTTAGTAGATGGAGAAGAAGTGGTGAAGGACAAAGAGACGCGCTTATACAACAAACTCCGGGAGGAGTTTAAACACTGGGTCCGCGTACTTGCAGCCAATTCCCAAAAGGGTGAGTCTTGGGACAGGGCTGCCCCAGCAGCAGCGTCGTAGTTACCAAGGCCAGGAGCTACTCCCGGCACAGACAGTGTGGGGCCCTGACTGCTCACCCCAGAGACCCTGGCCTGCCACATGCGGGCATGCATGACTGGGCGGGAGCTTGCCCTCACCCACTCCACAGAAAGCAGCTCCGCATCCCAGACTTGCTTCTCTCTCGCATCTTTGTTGTGAGGCTAGGCAATCCCGATTCCCCCATTTCTCCCTTCCGGTAACCCCGAAGCCGAAACCAGAGGTGAAGGCTTTGGTAAGAGTCTCCTGGCTCTGCCTGGCATGCTTCCAACTTCCATTCTGCTCCAGCCAGGATGAAAGTAGGCTGCGTGTGCGTGCGTGTGTGTGTGCGTGTGTGTGTGTGTGTGTGTGTGTATGTGTGTGTGTGAGTATTGCATTTTTGTCCATCCTGGCACTTGATAAAAATAGTACTGTTACCTAGCCGGCACGGCTCAGTGGTTGATGTCAACCTATGAACCAGGAGGTCATGGTTCAATTCCTAGTCAGGGCACATGCAGGAGGCAGCCATTAATGATTCTCTCTCATCATTGATGTTCCTATTTCCCTCTCCCTTCCTCTCTGAAAGCAATAAGTATATATATTTTTAAATGTATGCCACTTTCAAAAAAATAAAAATAAAAACAAAAAGACAGCACTACTCATTTCCACGGTAGAATTCCTCTAACCCTAGTTTAGCTGAATTTTTGAGAGACTTGTAAGTGAAACATGTAACTTATTTTCATTGAACTCATCTGCTTCCTTTCTATCAACTATACACACCCAACATATTCTCGGGGTGATAACTCTCAGTTGAAATACATTTTTTTAGAGTCAGATTTTGTTCCTGAAGGACTCTGTTAGAACTTGTATGTTTTTCATTATGAAAAGGACTCCCGTGTATGCCAGGGTTCTTGTCCAAGCATTACGAAGGGTTCAGTAATCTGGAGAAAGGAGCTTTGTGCTGCATGTAGATTCGAGAAGAGAAAGACGGTTTTAAAAGGCATTGGGGGTCAGAGGAGCTTCAGCTAAAGGAGCTAAAGACTCTCATCTTGTCTAGGACCTTTGCTTTTTATTAACACAATTTGTCCCAAGGCAAGGTGGAGATAATACATTTCAAAGGGTAGAGTTTCAAAGGGTAGGATTTACAGAAGCATTGTCAGATTGGGGAATAGCCTACAGCTGTTCAGGTGTTTGGCCAATAAGGAGGCAATAATGTGTAGATTAAGATGCCCTGAGTTGTCTGGCAGCTAACAATCCTATTTAGGTTTGGAGAAGATGCTTTTTAGCCATCCCAACAGGTAATTACATATGTGGTTCAGCCCTTGTTGAGCCCCCCCAAGTTCATCAACCTTTTGATGAAACTCTTGTAATCATGACATGCTGACATTGGTTCCTGGCACATTTAGAAGCATTGCCTTAGGATACATATAGTAGGTGAGCAAGACTTTTAAAAATGCCTTTATCTTTAAAAATGTCTGTGGTTTATTTCACCTTGCAGTTAAAAATATCATTCATGAAGAAGTCTCAAAGTATGAAAACCAGTACCGGGGCAAAGAACTTCTTGGGTTTGTCAACTACAAGACGTTCGAGACCATCGTGCAGCAGTACATCCAGCAGCTGGTGGAGCCCGCCCTGAGCATGCTCCAGAAGGCCGTGGGTGAGGGGCTCTCCCAGCACTGCCCATGGTCTCCATGCCTTGAGGGAGAGACTGGGTTGGAATGACCAACCGCAGCCTGCAGATCTCCTTTGCCCATTTGGGAAAGAAGGGCACCAGTGCATTGGGTTTCACTAGTCAGACCTACCCTCCACGCAGCTGTGTGAGGAAGAGCCGGATGCTCACCCGGGGAGGATCACACCTTCCAGGAATGACAGGAAATTGAGGGCACCTGCTCAGGGAGGGTGGTGGCCATGGATCTTATGTCTCCCCAGGACTGTGTACCATCTCTTCCTTCTCTAACTGAAGTCTGTAGGTCTGAATAGGGGCCCATGCCATGATTTCCCTGCCCTGTGCCATTAAGCCATGTGATTCCTGCTTGCATCTCACTGATGTTTGGTTTTTCCTTTGGTCAGAAATCGTCCGGCAAACGTTCATTGATGCAGCCAAAACACATTTTGGCGAATTTTCCAACCTTAATCAAACAGCCCGGGTAAGTACCTCCAGTTCACCTGCTGGGCACCTGTGCAGATTTATTAGGGTCTAGCCTTCGAAAGAAGGCACGTGTGTACTCCATTTAGACATGCAAGGGTGGGGATAGCATTGTACCCATGCGGGCGGGCGACTTGAGCAGCAGCACTGTTTTGCTTCTGCCCGGGTGTTGAGGGGCCCTTCCCGGGAGAAGTAGAACACAGCACTGACCTTGATCTCTCGGTCCCTTGTGTCCTGGCAGGACATAACTAAATGTATGACTGTCCCTAGTGACTTGCAAGTATTTTGGGCCTTTTTCCTACATGAAGGACAGCATTGTCTACTAGTCCTGGTCCAACATTTTTATTAGTTTGACTTAAAAATATTGCCACCGCTGTGTGGTGCCGGGGTTCTTGTCCCAGCAATCTGGAGAAAGGCTGTGCATAGATTAAGTAAGAGTCCAGAGATGAAAGATAATTTTGAAAGGCATTTGGGGTCAGAGGAGCTTCAGCTGAAGGAGCTAAAAATTCTCCTTGTCTCAGGACGTTTGCTTTTTATTCACACAGTTTGTCCTTAGGCAAGGTGGAGATAATATCCTTTAAAGGGTAGGGTTTACACAAGCATTATCAGGTTGGGGAATAGTCTACAGCTGTTCAGGTGTTTGGCCAACAGGAGGCAATAACGTGTAGATTGAGATGCCCTGAGTTGTCTGGCAGCAAATATTCATCCTATTCAGGTTTGGGGGAAGTGCCTATTAGCCAATCCAATAGATAATTACATGTGATTCAGCCCTTGTTGAGCCCCCAAGTTTCATCAACCTTTTGATAAAACTTTTGTAATTATGATATGCTAGAATTGGCCTCTGGCAGTGTGGGTTTCCACTTGGCAACTTAGCCACCCTGCCTGAATCCCAATCGCCATTTAGGGAAGTGAGCGGCTCTAGATAAAACTCTGCCCAGCCTCGGCTGTGGCCAGAATCTCATTCCTCACCATTTAAAGCCTCAGGCCTCTTTTGCCCTTAAATTATTTTTTAAATATGTTTTTATTGATTCAGAGAGAGGAAGGGAGAGGGAGAGAGCGATGGAAACATCAAAGATGAGAGAGAATCATTGTTGGGTTGCCTCCTGTACGCTCCCTCCTGGGGATCGAGCTTTCAACCTGGGCGACAGGGAATCGAACCATGAGCTCTTGGTTCTTGGGTCGACGATCAATCACGAAGACGCCTTAAATTATTCTTAATTCTGTGTTCAACATCACAGTTATGTTGAAATAACGAGGGGGGACCAAAATAGCAGCAACGTGCCTCTCTTTCTGACCCAACCAGAACAAGATTGAAGACATAAAAACCAAGCAAGCAGAAACAGCAACAAATACGATCCTCCTGCAGTTCAGGATGGAGCAGCTGGTTTATTGTCAAGACCAGATTTACAGTGAGATTCTGCAAAAAATTCGGGAACAGAACTTTAACACGGACGGAAGCGTTTCACAGGCTTCTCCCCTGAGACTGTCTTCTTCGAATACTCCTCCGTCTTCTGTTTCCTCCATCACTGAGATCGGGATGCACCTGAATGCATACTTCCTGGTGAGTGTGGGCACACGTGGCCCGTGCTGGGGCATGCTGACTGAGAGGCGCTTACCTGAGCGAAGAAGGTCGGGGTCTTTTCTGTTCTGATAAGCGACTCGTCTATTCTCCATCCTCTAACTGGAGCCCTGTCAGCCACGTCTAGTGAATTTCCCCCAATCAGGTTCTTCAGGTGGCAGAGCATGTACTCAAAAGTCACTTCAACCCCAAAGTTCTTTTTATTTTATGCTATGCATGAAGTGCGAAATTACTGTTCTCAGAGTGCAGCAAAATACGACTCATCTTGCTGGTCGAGTTTACTCTCCTTGATGTTTCGAAGGCGTTCAGCCCCTGGCGTGCTTGACACTCACCAGCTGCACAAAACAGGAATGAAATTCCTTTCCCGAGATGATGTGGCCCCATCAATCCCACTTGTGGACTAAAGCAGCAATTTCCAACTGATGTGCCACAAAAATATTTTAAAATACATTTTTATTGATTTCAGAGAGAGGAAAGGAGAGGGAGATATAGAAACATCAGTGCAGCCCTAGCTAGTTTGGCTCAGTGGATAGAGCATCAGCCTGCAGACTGAAGTGTCCTGGGTTCGATTCTGGTCAAGGGCACCCCCAGGTGTCCAGGTTCAATCCCCAGTGGAGGGGATGCAGGAGGCAGCTGATCAATGATTCGCTCTCATCATTGATGTTTCTATCTCTCTCTCCCTCTCCCTTCCTCTCTGAAATCAATAAAAATATATCATTGGTGATGAGAGAGAATCATTGACCCTGAACTGGGGATTGAGCCCTCAACTCGGGCATGTACCCTGGCCAGGAATCAAACCGCAAATCCTGGTTCATAGGTCAATGCTCAACCACTGAGCCATGCTGGCTGGACACGGCACAAGATTATTTTTTTAAATATATTTTTATTGATTTTTCACAGAGAGGAAGGGAGAGGGATAGACAGAAACATTGATGAGAGAGAAACATTGATCAGCTGCCTCCTGCACACCCCCTACTAGGGATGCATTTGACCAGATTCGAACCCGGGATCCTTCACTCCACAGGCCGACACTCTATCCACTGAGCCAAACCGGCTTTGGCAAGATTTTTAAAACATGCAATTCCTGACTATTTAGTCAGAAGCACTGACCTCTTTCCCTTAGATTACCAACTTAGAAAATGACAACAGCCAACACAACAATAGCTGTCCTGCGTGAATGAATCAAAATTACACTTTTTTGTGTGTGTGTCAGATCACCAGACAACATAATATATTTTTTGGTGTGCTGCTGAATTTTAGTACTTAGTTTATGTGTGTCGCAAGAGGAGAAAGGTTGAAATCACAGGACTAAAAGTATTAGGGCAAGCAGAATGGAAGGTAGCTTTTCAACTGTGAAGAAGCCCAACTACTGAACCTTTTAATAACCAGAGTAAAAAGCTGAGTTACCCAGATGGACATGCCCAAGGAGAGAGGGCGTGAGGGGAGGACTGAAGCAGGTCCTGATCTGGCCCCAGAACGGGGCCAGGAGGTCTCTGCCCAGAGGTGGAGTGGGGCCGGGGGAGGGGCTCCTGGGAAGACGGGGGTTCGCACCAGGAGCTTGGGGTTTGCTGGCCTCCCCGGTGGGTTCTTAGGTAGGAAAACTGGGCGTCCCAGACAGAAGCTCCTCATAGTTTGATACTGAACACTAGAGGGAGGTGGACGGGAGCACCAGGACTTACCAAGGCGGCCCTGCGTGCATCCAGAACCCCAAGGCTTCTCTCTGCAGCCACAGGCCTCGGGGCCAGACCCCCCCCAGCTGACCCTTCTCATCGCCTCTTCCAGGAGACCAGCAAGCGGCTCGCCAACCAGATCCCATTCATAATCCAGTATTTCATGCTCCAAGAGAATGGCGATTACTTGCAGAAAGCCATGATGCAGATCCTGCAGGAAAAGGACCAGTATTCCTGGCTGCTCCAGGAGCAGAGCGAGACCGCGCTCAAGAGGAAGTTCCTGAAGGAGAAGATCTACCGGCTCACCCAGGCACGGCGCGAGCTCTATAAATTCTCCTCTTAAAGGGGCGGATAGATGGAAGGGCATAGTACTTGGGAGTTTTCTCTTAGGCCGGTTCGTGGTAAGGGGATGTGACGCAGCCAGTGGCTTCTGGTTCGGGCCAGCCTTTCCCATTGTTGTCTGTCCATCTTCGCTGAACTGCCCCAGAGTGTAGACCTCAAGCCTACACTTGCTTAGAGCTGTCACCTGCACCTGCTTGAACAGATGTCTCTCCAGTCCATTGCCTCCAGTTAGTTTTAACTACCGCTGTCATTCCTTGTTCATTTGTCTCTCCCGGCTCATCAGATTAGGAGACCCCCAGAGAGGAAAAGTGAGTATTATAGTCTTCTTCCGTATTTCCAGAATCCTCCGTGGCACCTGGCACATAGTAGCTGCTCAATAAATGCTATCTCACTGAGCAAATGAATGATGGAGATTCCCGGAGGCCATGGCTGGAATCAGACTTTGCTGATTGGGGATGGTGTCCCTGAGCTGGTCACTTTCAGATGAATTGGGTCATGCCACCTGCTGTGATCACATTTCCCAGCTCCCCCTGGGAGAGAAGGACCAGAACAATACTATTATTAATTATAGTAGAGGTTCAGAGCATGACATTTGTGCACTTTAGGAGGTGTCCCCAACTGCTTACTGCTTCTTACCACCCCGCTCACTGCTCCTTAGTGCTGCCTCTGAGGTGGCTCCTGCCACCAGGACTGTGCTCACCAGTTCTGAGCCTGGCTTCTGGCTGAGCGGTGCTCCCCGTGTGGGAGAACACTGACCACCAGAGGGAAGCTCTGCATTGAGCGTCTGCCCCCTAGTGGTCAACACACATCATTACGACAGGTCATTTTGCTGTTCATTCGATTTGCATATTAGCCTTTTATTATATAGGATTGTTTCCCTAGTTACAACAAGCTCCTGTTGCTACGTGTTATTGTTTTTTTTTACTTTTTTATTGAATTTATTGGGATTACACCTTTTATATATTAAATCTTAAAGGGAAATTTAGTAATTAAAACACTTTAAAGAAAAATTATGGAACTTCACACCAGTGGTCATCTCTAGATAGGAGGAGAGTTAAGCAATCCCCACCTCATAGGAATTTTAGGAGTTAACTGAAACCATTTCTACAAACTGCCTATCGCAGGAGCTTGTGTTAAGAAATATCAGCAATTCTTCCCTCCAGCAAAGACCTTTTTCTTTTTTCTTTTTTTTCCCCTATGTTCAAAGAGCAGTCCTCACTATTGGAACTCTTCCGCCTATACTCATGTGTAGTTCTCTGATACTCTGTGAGCCAATTGTTGTAGATAGAAGTCCAATCTCATTCTCGTGCATGTGGATGTTGTGTTTTCCCAGCCCGAATGGTTGAAAAAAACTGTCCTTTCCCTCCTTGGCCTGGCACCTTGTCAAAAATAATCTGACCATATATGAAGGCTTATTTCTGGGCTCTCTGTTCTGTTCCATTGGTCTGTGTGTCTGTCTGTCTGCCAGTGCACAGTTGTCATAACTGTAGCTTTGTAGTACGTTTTGAAATTAGGAAGTGTGACTTTTTCAGCTTTGCTCATTGTTTTCAGCATTGTTATGGCTATTTGTAGTCCCTTCGGATTCCGTGTGAATTTTAGGATGGGTTATTTTTTATCTCTGAAAAAAAAAAAAAAAGTCCTTGGGATTTTATAGGCATTGCATTAATTCTGCAGATCACTTTGGATAGTATCTGCATTTTAATAATATTAAGTCTTCCATTCCATAAACACAGGATGTCTTTCCACTCATTTAATTATCTATTTTAATTTCTTGAATCAATGTTTTGTGGTTTTCATTGTACAAGGCTTTCACTTCCTTGGTTAAGTTAGTTCCCAAGTTTTTCATTCCTTTTGATGGTCTTGTAAATATAACTGTTTTCTTATTTTTTCTTTCTAATTATTCATTATTAGTCTACAAAAATGCAACTGATTTTTATGTGTCCAATTTGTGCCTTTTCACTTTGTTAGATTCATTTATTAGTTATAACAGTTGTTGTTGTTTTTTTTTGGGGGGGGGTTGTTTTTTGTGTGGAATCTTTATGATTTTCTACCTACAAGCTCATACCATCTCAATTTTATCTCTGTACCTTGCCTACTAGCTCAGGCTAGAACGTTCATGCTATGTGGAACGAAAGTGCCAAAAGTGGGGATCCTTGCTTGTAAAGCTGTTCTGGTTTTAAAGAACTTTTGTCAGATTGAAACTAAAGATGAAGACAACTTAAAAGACAGAACATTAGTTTAGGTATTCTTTGCTTTTTTAAAAAATGTGGCTTCTCCCCCCTTATTGTATGAGTTAGTCAGGACAGAGAGTCAGTGCAGAGCTGAAGAAAAGAATCAAATCTCCTCAAATTATACTGTTGTGAAAATAGCCTGAGAAAAATAAAGACTGGTACTTACTATTTGTTCCATAAATTGTATATTCAATCTTTCCCTACATGTTCAATATGTTTCACACATATGTATACACACTCACACACACACACAAACACACAAGTTAACTGCTGCAAGGAACACTTTAAGGTATCTGTGGCTTGCCTGGTCAGCGTGACTCGGGGGTTGAGCATCAGCCTATGTACCAGGAGGTCACAGTTCAATTTTGGGTCAGGGCAGAGGCCAGGGTTGTGGCCTTGACTCCCCAGTAGGGGGCCTGCAGGAGGCCAATCAATGATTCTCTCTCATCATCTCATCATTGTGTTGTTTTTCTCCCTCTCCTTTCCTAAAAATAATAAAAAACAAAATCTCCACAGCATAACGGTGTGTTCCCCACTCAGAGCATGCAGTATAAGGTGGGCTGTCAGGGTCCAGAGCCACTCAGGCCTCCAGGCACCAGCCTCCCTCCATCTAGTGGCCCACCATCATGGGGGCCTTGGAGCCTCCACCAGCCCCTCTGTGTCAGGCAGGAAGGATTGCAAGGGAGGTTCCCAGGAGCCAGGCCTGGGAGCTGGGTACATCACTTCCACATTCTATGGGCAGAACTGGGGCCTGTGGCCACTCCTAACTGCAAGGCAGGCTGGGAAATGTGGTCCAGCTAGCCAGACGGGAGAAAGAGGGAAGGGATTTGCACCTTGCCACCCCTGTCCCTCTGACACAGATGTGTTTCCTGCTCTTCCTTCTTATCCCAGGCTTGCTCACTCACATACTCTCCTCCCCCCCACACACACAGGGGATTCCTCCTCCAATGTTACTGTGGAACTGGGGTTTTGTTCCTAACAAGTGTGGAAATAAAGGAAGACTGCCCGGATGTGAACAAGAAACGTTATTCACAGCTGACTAGCAAGGAGTCAGCGCTCCCGTCACGTGTATGCTTTGGGCCAGTTGTTATGGAGTCATCATTTGGCTTCCGAACTGGTTACTAGAGAGAGCAGTCTGAATTCCTACATGTCTGATGTCAGCAGTTGGCTCCTGGGCTGGTTACTGCAGATATCGGGTTGGTTTCCTGTGCCGTGGCTGCAGGCTCGGGGTTCTATTTTTAAATGTGGTTTGTCCGTGTGTGTTGTATATTCAGGCTCTCACCGCTGACCTTACCCTGTGGGACCTTCCTCTCACCTCTGCCCTGGACACAGCAGACCTGCTCCCGCTTGGATCAATGTCTGGCGGTCCGCCTGTGCACGTGATCCATGCCCCTCCCCCCCTCATGAGGCTACCCTGAGATTCCTCACAGGACTGGAAGTTGTTATTTTGGGGTGGGGGTTTGGGGAAAGGTGTGTGTTGAGTGTTCTGTAATCAACGGTATAGTGATACAGTCGTGGAGTATCCATGAAGAGGTAGCCACAGATGAGGTAAACAAGTTTGAATCTCCTATCGTGTCCTGTGGGAAGCTACTGCTTGCCGATACTGTTGTGAGCGTGCACCAAGGAACGTGGGAGGCGGATAGACCTTGAACGTTAGTTAGTAGGGCTGAGGCTAAGCACCCATTGTTCCCATTGTTCCTGTTGAGATAGCGGTGGCTCGAAGCCATTCCCTGACCTGACAGCCTCCAAGTAAATGTTTTCTGGTCTTTACTGCCCTTTGAGACTGTTTGCTACCTGTTTGCTGTGCTTTACTGAGGGCGGGATGAGTATCTAACCCTGAATAAAAAGGGGACTAGGCCCGCATGAAAGTGTGCCTCTTTGCTGGGAGCCAATTCCAGCATGTCATAATTACGAGAGTTCCATAAAAAAATTGGTGAAGCGTGGGCAGCTCAACAAAGGCTGAGCCATATATGTAATTACCTGTTGGATGGCTGAAAGGCATTTCCCCAAACCTGACTAGGATAATTGTTTGTTGCCAGACAGCTCAGAGCATCTTAAATCTGCACGTATTGGCCCCTGTTGGCCAAAAACCTGAACAGCTGTAGGCTATTCCCCAACCTGACAATGCTTCTGTACCCTACCCTTTGGAACCTTACCCTTTGAAGTGTATGTCTCCACCTTGTCGTAGGACAAATTGTGTTAATAAATAGCACAGGATCCTCAAACAAGGCATAGTCTTCAGTTCCTTTAGCTCAGAGGTTCTCAACCTTTGGGGGTCAAACAACCCTTTTACAGGGGTCGCCTAAGACCATTGGAAAACACAGATATTTACATTGCGATTCATAACAGCAGCAAAATTACAATTATGAACTAGCAACAAAGATAATTTTATGGTTGGAGGTCACCACAACATGAGGAGCTGTATGAAAGGGTCACAGCGTTAGGAAGGTTGCGAGCCACTGCTTTAGCTGAAGCCCCTCTGACCCCCAATACCTTTCAAAATTATCTTTCGTCCTTGGACTCCTTTTTGAATCTACACATCAGCCCCTTTTTCCAGATTGCTAAACCTTCATAAGGCTGGGATAAGAACCTAGCACCTCTTCAGGAAAAAGGTTCCACCTGGCCCCCCAATGCCTTCTAAATTCATATTTCTTGGATAGCATTTTCATTTGTGCATCAGCCCCTCCTTCAGATCCTTATCCCTTGAAACCCTAAAATGCCCTTTTTGTCATGCATGGTGACAGGGTATGCTGGCTACCTATTGTTACAT